TTGTTCGGGATGTTTTTAGTTGAAGATATTTAGATAATATTGTAGGGCTCTTCAATACCTTTTTGTGGATATAAAAATCGTCGAAATCGGAGTTAGAACGAAGAAGTTATGACCTTTTGAAGTTACGAAGGTTTTGGGCTAAGACGAGTACGCTGGTCACACAACGTGTACGCTGGGTGTACTAGGCAATGGATGATCATAGTGGATCAACCTGGTACGCTGGGCGTACCAGGAGTACGTTGGGCGTACACAATCAGAACCCAAACCCTAATTTCAAGGTTTTGAGCCCTATTTAAGCTCCTTAACTTTCCCAAACCCTTATTTTTTTTTTCAGCCTTCATCCTCTCTAACCCTAATATCAAAATCCTAGCCCCATTTGTGAGATCCTTGAGTTTTTTTAAGTTATTTGGAGTGTTTTTGGTGCATCTTGGAGAACAACTAGCTTATATGAGAAGTGTTGGTTGCATTGGAACTTGTAGATCCATACCTTGTTCACCTTGATCTTTCTTCTAGAGGTATAAAGCTTGAATCTTGATGATGCATTTGTTAGATCTAGCTAGTTTTGGATGTTATGAGCTTTTGGTCACTTTAGTGCATAAAGTTTAGTTCTTGAAAGTTTGTGACCTTGTTATGGATAAAGTTGGAAACTTTATCCATCTAAATATCATTTTGATTCATATCTAAAGGGTGGAAACTTGGACTTAATGGATTAAGTAAGAAAGACGCGCCTTTGGTCCCTTTGAAACTTAAAAGGCTAGATCTTGGTCGCTTAGACCATTCAAATGGATAAAGTTGGAAAGTTTATCCATTATGGAGATATTAGGAACCATAAAAATGTGATCTTTGTCCTTCCATACATTCCATGCAAGAGTTAAGATGTCTTAATGGATGAATAAGTTAGGGTTTTAGCTTTTGGACGTTTTCAAGCCATGGAAAGTCATAAAGGTGGAAACTTTATGACTTACGTCAATGTTTTGAGTCTAGATCTGAGTTCTAGACAAAATGTCTTTAGGGATTAAGCATTAAAGGAAGGAATTATCTTGGGCGTATGTATGCCTGGTGTATCTGAGAGTACTCTGCACGTGCTGACCCTAAATCACATATGTTGGGCGTACGTGGAGTATGCTGGGCGTACTCAGCTGCCTGGACTTTGACTTTTGTTGACTTTTGAACAAGTTTGACCTTGGGTCAAAGTTGAGGATTTTGGTCTGTTGATTGAGATTTTATCTGGTTTTGGTGTTTGTGGGTTCACAGGTGCAAGCAATGCAAAAAAAGGGTCATGTCACAGTGTTTCAAAGTTCTCCGATTCAGGTGAGTTTCCCTCACTATACTTGTAGGTCGAAGGCACCAATGTCGACCCGTTAGGTTATGTATCTTGATATAGAGGATGTTGCTATGTTGTAGTGATCTGTTAGATCTGTGTCCTGGTATATAGGATGTTACTATGCGGTAGTGATTTGTAGATCTGCCTGTTTGTCTGTTAACTGGTCATATGTTTATCGATTGCATATGTAGACATAGTACAGTTTTGGGTTGAGGCTTTACTGCTATGTGCATGAGCCAACAGACTGGTGGTAATCCAGCTCGATGATTGTGGACCCGAGGGTATTCTAGTCTGATGGCTGATTGGACCCGTTGCATATTGGTATTCCAGTCTGATGACTGATTGGGCCGAGGCATTCCAGTTTGATGACTGATTGGGCCGGGGTTAATACAGCCCGATAGCTGTGGACCGGAGGGTATTCCAGTCCAGTGACCGATTGGACCCAAAATGCATGATTGTATATGTTATATGTTTGTGTGGTGGTATTTCAGGGGAACTCACTAAGCTTCGTGCTTACAGTTTGATTGTTATGGTTTCAGGTACTTCAGATGATCGGGGAAAAAGCAAAAGCGTGATCATACACATCCTTCGACAACATGTTTCTAGAAGATTTTAATCTTGGGATATTTGTAGTTGATACTTGGATTTGATATGGATTTTGTTTGAAAACAATGATTTCTCTTAATTTAAGAATGCAAATTTTTACCATGATTTTGGGTTGTTACACAATGGTTTACATACAAAAACATATACAAACTAATAAGTTAAGTATAACATGTTAAAAGTTTAAGACATAATTTTCTAAGCAGAAGTAAAAGATGGTATTTTAATATTAAATTTAGCTAATTTAGTATTATAGTTTAGGTTTTTCACTTATTTAATAATATTAACCAATTTATAATCATTATTAAAAATAAATTGAAAAGTCATGGGAGTTTCAAATGCATGCGGGAAAGGAAAAATGCATCTTTTATAGTATAGTATAGAAAAACTTAGTTTTGGGATTACTCTCGATAGCTTGGGTTGATAATTTCCTTTTTTTTTTTTTTTTGCATTGAGTTTTACCCTAGAGTCCATTGATGCTTTTTACCTACTAAATATTTGAGTTCGTGGATTTCTTCGTCGTTTTCTCACTAAGATGTCACTTTCGGAGTTCTTATTCACCAATAGTTGATTCAAATTGTAGAGTCTCGTCATCTATTTCGAACTTTGACGGGGAGAATTTTGGATTCAAAGTTCTACATGAAATAGGACAAGAGAAGACTTTAAGTTTCTTTGGTGCATAAGAGAATATTTTCTTATGATTTACATGAGATTCCATTAGAACCCTAATATAAAGATTGTCATATTTATTTTAGAGTGTGTTTAATAGATGTGTAATCATTGAGAGTTGCGAGTTGAATTATTTATTTAGACTTAGATCTAGATCATGCTTTTTTGTTTCTCATTTAGATCAAATACATCTTATGATCCAATACATATTTTTACAATATATTCATCTTGTCTGTTGTGTTATTTTTATTATTCCGCATGTCAAATCAAACATTTATGTACTAGCCAGATTTGTATTTTTATTTTCATAAAAATGAAGCATATTAAGTATTCCTAAAACATGAAAGAAATACCTTAAATCCAACACCATATCTTCCGATTAAATTTTGGAGAAATGACATGAATTAGAGACTCGTCTTTACTTAAACACCCGAATTGACCCGACAATGATATTCTTCTTATATTATGGATAAACCAAAAGCCAACTACACAATGCATCATTGCTTCAAGCCAACACTCAACGCCAAAGACCTGCAAAAAAAGAAATGGTTTATTTCTGGCTATTATTACATTAAACATAAGCAACATAATCACTAGATCATTCGTTTTATTATACTTTTCATTAACAAATATAAATCGATGTTTACATAAAGAATATAATTATTATTTTTCTTATTTAATTATTATGAAATTATTTTAACTACCAAAATAACTATAAGTCTTTAAATCATTTTTGGTAAAAAAAATGCATTTATGTGTTTTATTCATTCAAAATGTGTTTTTATTAACTTAAATTATTGAAGTGTATAACTAAATTAAAAACATGTTGTATTTACTTATTATTAATATATATATTAAAGTTGTGGAAGAAAGGAATAGTAAACTTGGGATACTTTGTCCAAATTTGGTCCCTTGATTTACATATCCGGTCCTTATACTTTTGTAATTAATTTATTCATGTCCTTTTGTTTGTGTTCCATTCAACTTCCCATTTTTTTGGCAGAATTGGTCCCTGTATTATTGTTGGAAGTTAGGAATACTAAATTTGGATGTTTTTGGCAACTTTGGTCATTATTCTTTACCTATTTTGACACTTTTGGTTATTGCAATCAATATTTTTACACTTTTTTGGAACCTTTTAATATTTAAAGTTTGGCCACAAAACTTTAACGGTTTGACAACTTTGATCCCTTTTCTAAAAAGTTGTTAATTCCTACCCCTTTAATTATTTAGCCATTTTCACACTTCTGGTCCTTGCAGTCAAAATTTTTACATTTTTTGTCCGGGGCAAAGCCCGGACTTTTCATCCTTGCACTTTCTATGTCTGTCATATTTATCAATTCGGAAACAACATTGAAAGCTTCTGGCCCCCGCGTAGCGGGGGTAACCTTTCTAGTTAAAAATAAACGGTGTGTGAATAAAAATATTTAACAATATATAAAATATTTAAGAAAAATACGTAGGTTTACACATTTATCTATTTATTTACCAAGAATCATTATAAAATACATTATAATCGATCATGATTTTAATAAACATCATCTATTAAAAACTACGGCCGTAGGCCTAAACCGAACCGCAAACCAAATGCATCGGTTTTTGTAATCACAAAACGATGATGTGTGGTTTTGTGGTTTTTTCCAACCGCTTTTGTTTCAATTGTCGCAGTTTCGGTTTTTACCCGCACAATGAAGCGATACGGTTTTCTAGTGTGGTTTTGTTTTAAAACCGCAAGAGCCTGAAATTGTGATTCAAGAATATTCATGATAGGGGTTCCATTGAAGTGTATCATGTTGGCCAGATACACGTTGGCCTTGTTGACGAGTACTTGGATTTTTTTAGAGACCAGAAAGACAAATTAAAAACCACACCATCAGTTTAGAGACTACCAATTTGGACCGGCTTTCCCATTTTAAAAACCACACCATCAGTTTTGTATCGGTTTCAGATTCTCGGTTTCGATTGTTGCGGTTTTTAGATCGGTTCGGCTTTTGCTCACCTTATTAAAAGATCAACTGATATAAGAATTTATTAAATATTGTTTTATAGTTTATCTTATAAATAGTTGCATTATTGATTTATAAAAATTGTGGATAAAAGATGTCATTTTAAAAGTTTAAAGAACAAATATGATATGAAGAGAAATATGAGATTTCAAAATATATCAAATTTATTCATTTGTTTTTATGTCATTTTATATTTTGTAGCTAGCTTATTAACTAGTTTTTTTACAAATATATTTTTTATTACCTAGTTTATCAGCTATAAACTATCTTTTGCGTTAGTATGACAAACACATACTTATACTTATGGCGATACTATTTGTATAGAATTATATATTACCACACTAACCAAACTTTGTAGGTATCTTTAAAGTGGAAAGGTACAATACGGTCCAATGTCATTTCAATATAAAGCCTTCAATCATCCGTTTGTCTAGTTTAAGTAAAGATTGCCTAAACATAGAGTAAACATTCCCAACACAATCAAACTTTCGGTTCCTCAACGTGTTCTTGATCAAAGGCAAATTAATTCTTTCTGTTCTTAAAACATATTTCCTGCAATTTGGTTTTAGAGGTGAACGAATAATCAATTGTTGACAACTCTTATGTTTGTTAAGGTTTTTTGCGAAGGTTGTGAAATGGGGAAGAAGAAATATTTGGATTGGACAAGCCGGTCAATTATGTTCACCGGAGGAGTTTCCTTCGTGAAGAAAAATGTAAGGTTCCCTTTTTGCTTTTTGATCTTTGTTTTTTCATAATTCTTGTTGTGTCACAAATTTAAATCTGAATATTGAACCTAGATCATAAGTTTGCTTACATAGAACAATTTTAATTCAATCACGACAAAAGTTAGTTCATCTAAGTCATTAATTTAGTACTAGCAGATTAAATAAATAAAATTAGTTTTTAGTAAAACGAAAACAAATGAAATGGTAAAGAAGTCATACAAAGTAAGTTTGCTAACGTACAATCCAAATCATGATATTAGGGTTACAAATAATCATTCATTAGTTGGATAACAACCTCTTGATGATCTAGATCATGAATCAAACACTAAAACTGTAATACCGATTTATTAATACAAAGTATATCCAAAAAATTTGTTTTTAAACTTATAATCAATCTAGTGTACATTTCACATTTGTATTAACAAGCTGATACAATAAGTTATCAAAAATAATCATACAATAATAAGTTATCAAAAATAATCATACAATAATATATTTTTTTTGAATAGTAAATTTAATCTACTCTTATACTACTTCTAAATCATCTATGTCTCAAACGGGACTTAAACCTTCGACCTCATGGAGTGAGGGCAACACCTGATACCGCTGGGCTAAGAGCCCTTTTGGTATACACAAATAAATAATATGATGATCTGATTTGGTTGCTACCAAACTTCATACTTCTCTACCGAATATTTCTGAATATGAAAGGGTGTGTTCGGCACGGAGCGTTTTGGAGCGTTTGAGAGCTTCTACCTTCTAGCGTTTGACAAAACGCTCCGTTTAAAACAGAAAGCCTCGCTTGACACTACAAGCTTCTAGCGTTTAGTTTAATCAAAACGCTCCAAATCAAAATGCTACTTCGTGTAGCGTTTAACAAAACGCTACAAGCTACAAGCTACCTGCTACCTGCTACAAGCTACCCGCTACCAGCTAGTTTTGCCGAACACGCATAAGTAATAAAAACTTTAGGACGTGTTCGGCACGAAGCGTTTGGGAGCGTTTGAGAGCTTCTAGTTTCTAGCGTTTGACAAAAAGCTCCATTTTGAACAGAAAGCTCTGTTCGGCACTACAAGCTTCTAGCGTTTAGTTTAAACAAAACGCTCCAAATCCAAATGCTACTTCATGTAGCGTTTAACAAAACGCTACAAGCTACCTGCTACATGTTACTCGTTAATGTAATAAATAAGCAACTTTATATATATATATATATATATATATATATATATATATATATATATATATATATATATATAAACCAACAAATCAATACAAACTCCATGACACCTATCGATAAACCTAGTATATACCCATATTGAGTATTTTTTTTTCATAAATTCCTAAATGTATATGTTTACAACTGCTCAAACTATTATTTTAACCATTAGCTCTCCTTAGTAGATTTACAACGATTTAAGTTATAATTATACTCTAATAACTTTTCCCCATGATATTACAACCCCATCGGCTACCACTCTGTCTAAATAATATTTCTTCAGTGGTATTACAACCATACAGGCTACTACTACGACATATTCGTGTACAAGTATCATATTAAGGCCACTAAGGATACCATTGACTTGTATTTCTCAAAAGATGGTATTACAACTACCAAGGCTACCACCGCTCTCTAATAACAACATACAAGTATGGTATTACGTCCATAAAGACTACCATTGACTTGTATGTCTCTAATGAGGGTATTACAACCACCAAGGCTACCACCGTACTCAAATAACAGTGTAAAAATGTAGTGTTACGACCAACAACGCTGTCATTAACCTCCAATTCACTAATGATGATTTTACGACCACCAAGGTTATCACTGTATACTAATAACTATAAACATTGTTATGATGATACTCTGTTATAACCACTTGGCTATACTTAATCTTGGTTCCATACTTTAGACAAGTGTAATAGTTACATTCAACTGTAACTGTTCAACGACCTATACAATTGCGTTCAGCATAACTATTCACACAACTTAGATAACTAACTTATTTAATACGATAGTCATCAACTAAAACCATCTACGTACATTCCAATCATTAAAACCACTACATCCATTCACTATAACTAATAGTCATAAACAACTACACCAACACTTCATAGCTCATAACAAATACAACTAAACTAGCATAACTTAACTATAATTCGGCTAAATCAACTCATTTCCACATAGCAATAACTTGTTATAAAACTTAGTGATACCCGTTTAATACAAATCTCGACTATATACAACCCTATAAGCTTTTAACTCATAATATATTATTCCACAATAACCATTATATTGTATTTATCACATAACTTAACAATAATCACATATCTAGATAACATTTATTAGATAAATAGTATGATTACTCATCCTGGTAGAGTCTTATATGCAAGAGATTCTAATTCCCAAAATCTTGTAATTGCCCTTGAAACCGAGATTTCCAACTGAATTTATATATATATATATATATATATATATATATATATATATATATATATATATATATATATTGCTAAAAACTATTTGTAAGAGACAATTACTATTCATTTTCCCTTGTTATTTCTAGAGTAAAAATGCCTAAATACAATTAAATTACTACTTTACATTTGTCCCCCTCAAGTAATTTTGATTTAACAATTTTCATCATTTATAATTTTAAAAGTTCAATAACTGGTATTTTATAAGTTGTGATTTGGGTCCATTTCTATATTTTAAAGTGATGTTTTTGGTCCCTTACATAATTTCTTTTTATAGTTTTCATTTTTATTAATTTTCTTAAAATATACTTTCAAGTCTTATTTTCGACCGTTTTCTCAATACATAATGTTTTGGATCAAGATTTTATTTTGATACTTTTGTGGTGCACTTGATATGATATAATTATCATTGTGATATATGTGGATTGTTGACATTTATAAATCACATTCTATATACAAATTCTAAAGAAGTTACCCCACACATTAAAGTTACATTTTCTCCCCTTACATATTTTTTTATAGTTTCCGTTTTTATAATTTCCTTAAGATATGCTTTCAAGCTTTATTTTTTTTCCCGACTCTTCCATACATTATAGTTTGGGTCGAAACTTTATTTTACTATTTTTGTGGTACACTTGATATGATATGAACTGTTGACATTTGTAAATCATATTCAATATATGAATTGCAAAGGAGTTACCCTCACGCTTCAAAGTTACATTTTGGTCCCTTACATTTATTTTTTATAGTTTTCATTTTTATTAATTGAAAACGAGTTCTCCGGTACAACGTGTAGAGTGAATTAAATACTAGTTAAAAAAAATTGAAAATGTTTGATTTAAATTGGTAAAAAGAAAGTTTTGGTTTAAATATGAAAAACATAAAGGTTTTAGGTATTTTTCGAAATTAATCCAATTGAAAATATCTTATTAACTATGTCAACAATAATAAGACAATAAACAATTTAAATAAGCAATCTAAACACCCCAAGACCAGTCCTATAATTATCATAACCTAAAACACAATCATATGTGACCACAATAAGAAAACAGATTCTCTAATACTCTAAAATTTCACAAACGCATTAAAAGTATAAGCAGTCAATAATGAATTCGACTAATTTATAGCTTTTATTAATGAGAGGTGATATCTCTACTTATTTTTTTATTCATATGGTAAGAAAAAAAAATATTTGACTTTTATATCCTTATTTAACCGAAGTGAGATAATCATAATGATGTACAAAACTCAACGTTTCTTTGCAAATGGATGGATTAAATATAATTGAATATATCACCCCATTTTATTGATTGGGTTGATAATATCATATTATTTAGACAAAATTACACCATTGTCGTATAGTTTATCAAAACGGGCATAGTGTGAACAATTATGATACACACTATGCGTTTGGTTCTCGTTGTTTTATTTTTTTTTGTGTGATTGGACCTTATTACATGTAAAATGACTTTTCTACACCTTTTTATTCATTTCACATTTTTTTGTATATTGTTTATTTATTTTCCGATTAAAAAGAACAAAATCAAAAGAAAACCCTCCCTCGTTACCAACCTTCACCATCCATCTAGGTTTGTTCTTTATGAACACACACATACAAAAACATCTTCATGGACACCACACACACACATACACACACATCTTCATGAAAACAAACACATAAAGACACTCAAGAAAACAAACCACTCTCTATCACTACCGTCCACTACCACCACCACCACCCTTTGGCGCCTTCACCATATATGGAAATCGACTCACACACCTAAAGATCTGAAAATCGACACAAACACATATGCATCTATGGAAATAGACATAATACACACTCATGGAAATCGACACACACATACACACCTGAAAATTGACGTATACACATTAGATCTGGAAATCGGCGCATACACTGACAAACCTGGAAATCAACATACACCTACAAATTTTCGGATCCGGTAATCAACAAGCACACCCCTATAAATCTCCAAAGCTACAACGACGACAACTAGGGTTTGCATTAGTGGTGATTCGTCTGAAAATATTTTACGAGCTTCGACGATGGTTTAATCTAGATAAAAAAAGGCTAACGATCATCTTAATGGATAGTGGTGGATCCAAAGATTGCAATGAGAACAAGATTCAACCGTCGGGTGGTTGTCTTGTAAGGAACCAAAATTTAAAACCGAAATGAATTATGAAACATCGGTGGTGGTTATCTTTAAGGGGGTATGTAGGATTGTGATTGTGGGATAGGGACGGTGGTTGTTTCGACAACTCCTTTGGATCTCTCTCTCTCTCTCTCTCTCTCTCTCTCTCTCTGGTGTTGAAGGCGGTGACTTTTTTAAAAGGAGGAATATGTTAGAAAAAGACAATGAGTTACCCAATTATGTTAATTATATATGTACCCCTATTTACTAGTTGTACTCCTATGTGTGCATGATTGAGTGTTTAATTTTTTATGTGAGTGAAAAAGGTAAATATAATAGCACCGATGTGTTATAAGTGATATAAGGTTAGAGTCAGGTAGGGTATTTTCTAATTAATAAAATATTATTTTCAAACAAAAATTATATATGAAAGTTAATAAAACATTTAATCAGAGGTATAATAATAACTTTAGATAATTTTGAAAACCAAGTAAAATTGCAAAACACTAATTGCTTCATGTAACCTTATGTGAGTGGGTGATGGTGTATACCTCATGATTTAACAATTTATATAACTGAGGGGGATACATATAATAACATCAAAACTAAACACTTAGGTTGACGGGTCGTATGGGCTTATGTTCCGAACCCACCAACCCGTGACCCGCCAACCCACGACCTGTATAGTTAAATGGGTCATGTTCGGGTTGGTGTATTTTGACCCTTCAACCCGCTAACCCGCGATCTGCAAACCCGAACACGTTACGATTGTCAGGCCTCCCATCACGAGTCTCTTTGGCAGGGGCGAGTCCAATTAATCCAAAGGTAGGTCACTTGACCTACCTTCTTTTAAAAAAGTTATTACAAGTTATACATTAAAATCAATTGTGACCTATCTTATTTTTTTTAGTGACATACCTTAATTTGTTTGGTTTAAAAAATAAAAAGAAATCAAGAATTGAAAGCCCATATTTTATATTTCATTAGCCCAAAACTAAATTCACATAAAATATCATCCCAAAAATAGCCACTACATTCAACATTAGGTTAGAAAAAAAAAGATATTAAAAAAAAAACCGTATTTTGATTATTCCCATAACACAAGCAAGTCACAAAAACAAGCTGGCAACACCGCAACTAGTAATCGTTTCTTGCTTAAACGACCCAACCCGAAACACAACTAGTAGTTTTTTTTTATTTTTTTTGATTTTTAATCGGTATCAATTAAATAATGAACCACATGAATTTATATTCTAGACTCGCCACTGCTCTTTGGCCAGCCCCCTTAGCGCAAGCTAGGGATCGGGAGCAGTATTTGGCAACCTTGGCGAGTTTGTTAACGACCCCTACTTCCCAATGCCTTTCAAAAGAAAACCACATGGAAACACATAGGGCGTGTTTGGCAAAAGTAGCTGTTAGCTGGAAGCGGGTAGCGGTTAGTTGGTAGCGTGTAGCGGGTAGCGGGAAGCTGTAGTTTTTATTTGTTATATGAATGTTTGGCAAAAGTAGCTAGAAGCTTTTGAAATATATAAAATTACATAAAAGGACAATTGATTAAAAATAAATAAATATATAAATATATTTTTAATGGTAATTATGGAAATTGATTTCAAAAGCTCAGTAGCGTTTTGTTAAACGCTACATGAAGTAGCTTTTAGAATTGGAACGTTTTGTTTAAATTAAAAGCTAAACACTCGTACCGCCAAACGAAGTTTTTGTTTAAACTAGAGCGTTTTGTCAAAAATTAAAAGTTAGAAACTCCCAAACGCTTCTAAAAGCTCCGTGCCAAACTTTAATGGCCGCCAAATACCATGCAATGTTTTGGAAAGTATTATTTACAAGATTCCAAGGAAAAACTGAAAAAGAGAATCTGATGTGGTTACGTACCAAACAAATTTTTTATGTCATTTCTTGACGACTGAACAAAAGTCAACATTCCCAAAAACATGCCGCGTTGCGTTCATTGATGTGTTCTGTTCTTGATCAAGCGAATCGATTCTTTTTTCTTTTTTCTTATAAATTCTTTCCAACAACCCTGCAAACTCCATGTTTCTTTAGGGTTTATTGAAATCTTGTGAAATGGGGAAGAACAAGCATTTGGATTGGACAAGCCGATCGATCATCTCTTCCGGAGGTGACAGAGTTCCTCTAATCAGAAAAAATGTAAGATTCCCTTTTTGTTTTTTTACACCAATTACGTCTGTTTCCGTTGTATTTCTTTCTCTATCCCTAAATTTATCAAAACGAGATCATAGTAGATCAGTACTTGTTTTTTTCAGTTGCGTTAACTTCGAATTTCATTATGGAACACAATCAATTAATTAGTATTCTTGATTTTAGGTCAAGAGAAATGAGAATGAAGTCGGGTCATCAAATGGTCCAGCAACGGACCTCGAGTACGGAGACGCAATACAGGTGACCATCGTTTTTTGTTTTCGATTCTATATATTTTCCTTATGCAATTAAGAAACATAACTTTTATCATGAATTTAGGCAGCAAATGTTGGATTTTCCAGAGTTCTACTTTTGGTAAGTACACAATTTCCTTAAACAACAATTAGGCTATATTGTGTTTGTTACAGTGGACTAGAGCACTAGGCAAACTTTCTACGACTATTTTCTATCACTTTACAAGGAGGGCGTTATCGTCTTTTGCATAGATTTTTGAAAGGGACAAAAAAACACAATTTTTGTCCATTGACATCAGTCCGAGACAAATGGAGTACAATTTATTTTGTCATGTCACGTCGGTACGAGTCCAAATTCATTACAACCTTTCTTTCATGTCATTCAGTCCAATCAGTACAACTTGTCATGTCATGTCATACTTGTCCCAAGTCCAGTCCAATTCAATACAATCTATTCTGTCATGTCATGTGAGTCTTGTTCCAATACAGTACAACTTGTTCTGTCAGGTCACCTAAGCCATGCCAATGCAGTACAACTTGTTTTCTCATGTCAAGTTAGTCCGATACAACCTGTTCTGTCATGTCATGTCAGTCCCAGCCCAATGCAGTACAACTTGTGTCATGCCATATTGTTAGATTTAACAATCATTGTCTTTTACTTACATTGTAGGCAAAACCTGATGCAGGGAGGCTCATTATTGCAACAATTGCTCTACTAATAGCTTCAACCTCGAGCCTGCTTATAGTACGCCACTTTCCAAGTCGATAGAATTAATCTAAAAGAAAAGATTAAAAAAAAACGTTAAATTTATTTTAACGAATTGTAAAGTGTGTTATATGATGTTATCAGCCATCTTTTGGTGGGAGGATTATCGACATTGTATCAAGAGATATAAAGACACCCGAAGAGCAAACTGAAGCTCTGAATGCTGTTAAGGACACTATACTAGCCGTTGTGTTGGTGGTTGTTGTCGGGTGTGTTTCTTTTCCCATTTAAATCACATAAAACTTAAATTGCTCTTGCAATGGCATTTATGTAATTATATGTAACTTTTTGGTCTTAGTTCATTCTCAACAGCGCTCCGGGCATGGTTGTTTTCTTCCGCTAGTGAACGGGTTGTTGCTCGTTTGAGAAAGGATTTGTTCAGCCACCTTATGCAACAAGTGAGTTTCTTGATGTTTAATAGCAATGGACTTTCATTTTGTTTATGATTATCTATTTAAAGTAGGTTGTTATTATGAGTAAAATTCAAAGTAGGTTGCTATAATTAGTAAAATATGAAACTGTTTGTGCAGGAAATAGCTTTCTATGATGTTACTAGAACAGGAGAATTACTCAGTCGACTATCTGAAGACACACAAATTATAAAAAATGCTGCAACTACTAATCTCTCTGAGGCACTACGAAATTTTGACTACAGCATTTATTGGTCTTGGCTTCATGTTCTCTTCTTCATGGAAGCTAACATGTAAATTTTCGTTCTTGTAATATCATTTTGAGTAAATTACATTTTTGGTCCCTGATTATAATTGATTTTTGCAATTTTGGTCCCAGATAGTTTTCTCTTGCAGTTTTTGGTCCTTATTTGAGGTTTTTGCAACGCTCTTTTGGTCATGTTCCGATAAAATGACGATATTTTTGGGACCAAAATTGCAAAAACTAGCTTTACTTAAGGACCAAAAATAATAATTTTACCTGGAAAAGGAACCAAAATCTTGACAGAAACCTCAAATAGAGTACCAAAATTTCAAAAATCAGCTATACCAAGGGACCAAAAGTGTAAATTTAATCCATTATTCACATTATAATGTGAGTCCTCATCTTGTACGCATGACAGAACAATACAACTTTGTACTGTGTTTGACATTCATTGGACCAGATGAGATAAAAAATGAACTTTTATTTTTCAAACAAAAAAGTAGGACAGAGATTTGCTCTCGATTTTTCGTCTGTGCAAAAGACATGAATGCCCTTTTGATTTTCATCATCGAAACAAACACTGCCTAAAATAATGTAACTTTTATGGATGATATATATATTTTTTTTGTGAAGTGTTGGCTTTGGTTGTTGTGCCAATAATATCGGTAGCTGTGCGCTACTTTGGAAGGTACCTTCGAGAACTCTCACATGCAACACAAGCAGCAGCTGCAGTTGCTGCCTCAATTGCCGAGGTTATTTAATTCTTTTAAATTTTATAAATTTTTGGTTGACTTTTTGTATAAATTGTCAACATAAATTTCACCTACAGGAATCTTTTGGAGCCATTCGAACAGTGAGATCTTTTGCACAAGAATCTTACGCGATTTCAACCTACTCTGAAAAAGTTGACGAGACTTTAAACCTTGGCCTCCGACAAGCAGTAAGCCATTGTTTGACTCAATAGGAAAAGTCTCATTTTCTTGACTTTCTATATTACATCGTTCTTTAAGGGTAAAATGGTCATTTAGTCTCGTTTAGACAGTTTTATTCGGTCTAGAAAAGAAACAACCTTATGTAAGAGGATGAGCCTGATTCGGTCAGATTCAGACTGTTTGATGGATCTAGATGGATCTGACTCAATCAACAACAATCAAACAGTGTCTCATATTTACTTGTTTATATGACAGAAAGTCACGGGTATATTTTCTGGTGGTATGAGTGGAGCATCAACATTGTCAGTGATCACAGTGGTGATATATGGAGCTTACTTGACTATTACACGCGCGATGACAGCTGGCTCGCTTACATCATTCATTCTCTACAGCCTCACAGGTATTATTTCTTTTATTTGTCCCAATAATCTTTTTCTTTATTTTGATTCAAAATAACCAAAATATCAAAATTGCAGTTGGGTCTTCGATATCTTCATTATCAGGATTATATACAACTGCCATGAAAGCTGCTGGAGCAAGCAGGAGAGTTTTTCAGCTTCTAGATCGTGTGTCCAGCTTGGCCACACCCGGGACCCAATGCCCCATTGGGTGTGTATTGTGTGTGTTTATGCCACGTGGACATGTGGTTGTTACTTTTTGTTTGATTACGTTTTTTTTTTTTTTAATTGTAGTGATCCAGATGGAGATGTTGAACTAGATGATGTTTGGTTTGCTTATCCTTCTCGACCCAATCATATGGTACTTAAGGTAAATAAATATAAATTCAGATAATTTGACCATTTTGTTGCACCTTTTTTGATATTCATTGACATCATAATCACAGTTCAATACATGTTGTTTTATTATGTGTAACAAACGGGGTTCTCATGACTTTTTTGTGTACAGGGGATAACACTAAAATTGAGACCGGGTTCGAAAGTAGCCTTGGTGGGTCCCAGTGGTGGTGGAAAGGTATTGTGAAAATTGTTATATTTGTACTAGAATAAATTACAAGAATGGTCCTTGTGGTATATCAAAAATTGCAGGTTTGGTCCAAGTTTTTTTTTTTGTCCTAAAGTTGTCCCTAACTTTGGTTTTTGTTTCGAGAAATGAGAATGGTTTTTGGCTCATGTATAATGACTTTTTTACCTTTAAGGGCAAAATGGTCATTTTGATGGGTGAAGGACCATTCTCGGAACAAAAACCAACAACTTTGGAACAAAAAAAGAAGGTGGACTGAACCTGCATTTATTGGTATACCATAGGGATCATTATTGTAATTATCTTTGTTTAAGAATTTTAAGCCATCAAGTCTTGATCACAAACTCGTTTCTCCATAGACCACCATCGCGAATTTGATCGAAAGGTTTTACGATCCATCAAACGGAAAGGTTTTGCTAAACGGGGTTCCATTACCCGAAATATCACACGAATTTCTACACAAAAAGGTAATCGATTACTTCAATTTACGTTATAAAACCTTACATTCTCCACATCTGTGAAAAAAAAATCCCATCTTTTTCTTGCTGTATTTAAGGTGAGTATAGTGAGCCAGGAGCCTGTTCTATTCAACTGTTCTATAGAAGATAACATTGCTTACGGATTCGATGGAAAAGCCACCAGTTCTGAAATCGAAAACGTTGCTGTAAGGGTTCTTCTCTTTTCTTTCAGTTCAATTGTTTCTTCAGAAAATTATACGTTCTCGAGCTTATGAAAACAGAAAATGGCGAATGCCCATGATTTTGTGTCGTCGTTTCCGGAGAAATACCAAACGGTGGTTGGAGAACGTGGATTACGGTTGTCGGGAGGTCAAAAACAACGAATTGCAATCGCTAGAGCGCTCTTGATGAACCCTAGAGTTTTGCTATTGGATGAAGCCACAAGCGCGTTAGATGCGGAAAGTGAATATCTCGTTCAGGTGACACACATACAGACACAATTTCACGCAGTTGTATGAATCCTAGAGTTTTGCTAATGGTTGATTTTTGGGGGTTCGTGTTTTTTGTATGAAAAGGATGCGATGGACTCGTTAATGCAAGGAAGGACGGTGTTAGTGATAGCTCACCGGCTGTCGACGGTGAAAAGCGCCGACACGGTGGCGGTGATTTCCGATGGGCAGATTGCAGAAAGTGGGACCCACGAAGAGCTTCTTAACATGAATGGGATTTACACTGCACTTGTAAGGCGGCAATTGCAAGTTACCCAAAATGGAGAAGTGTAATTTTTGACTATTGGAGGGTTAGTGAAAATTGACCTTTTTAACCCATTGCAATAGTAAAAACTAAAAAGTAAAATCCACAAGCGATTGATATATTTTTGGATGCAATTGAGAGCTCGGAGAAAATGTTAACCGAGGAGTCGATAATCTCTTGTTTCCAAAGATTGTATGTATTGTTTAGAACAACATTTGTATCCAAGGGGTTTTGTATAATATAGAGTCGATTGGCCATAGTTTGAAGTTAGATATTGTTTATTTTAGTCATTTTAAGCTTTATGTGTTTGGCTTATTTGACAAAAATACCTGAAAGTTAGTAGTTAAAACTGTGTTTTTATTTATTAAGTTGAGCCAAAAGACTTTTTTCTTTTTAAGACTGTGTTTAGCGCGCCACAACTAGCTGATAAGCTAACTTATTTTTTGAGTTTTTTTATGCTGTTGTGTTTCGCAAACCAAAAAACAGTTTATAAGTTAGTTTTTTAAAAAGCTATCTAGACTAGCTTTTTAGGAGTTTTTTCAAAATTTTCCAAATATATACCTTAATTAATTATAGAAATACATTCTTTTAAATGTCTTTTTTATGTAATTTTATATTTTCAGTTAGTTTTACCAAACACTATTTTTTATCGGCTAGCTTTTCAGTTATCAGCTAGTTTTTTATTTAACAGCTAGCTGTTCAGCTAATAGCTAGTTTTTCAGCTAGTTCGCCAAACATAGTCTAAAATTTAAATAAAGTTTCAAAAGATCCAGGACGAACACCTTTTATTTATTTATTTACTTTTATACTTAATAGGATATAATGGCTTAATGAGTTAAGCCACACTCATTTTACTTATTTACGTTTCTTCCTTTACCTACCAATATTTTTCATTTTACAATTGATAAATAACATAAAAACTATTTATTAAAATATAAAGATAGAACGTTTATTTAATTTCATTCGAGGGTTTATTACTCTAAAAAACAATCTTATATATAGTTATATACATTGACAATTACAAATTAAGTTGATCAAGTATAAAAAAATGGTTTACATGTTTTTGGAAACCGAATTGCCATTACTAAATTTTGCAACATCTTGTTGTTGAACTGCAAATCTAAGGGCTTTAACAACTTCACTCATCAATGGTCGTTCATTGCTCTGGTCAACCAAACAACGCTCAGTAATCTTGATGAACTCTTTCAAGCTTTCAGGTGCTATTTTCCCCTTTAAACTCGGGTCAATCGTCTTATGAATCGTCCCTTTCGCTATATTACTCTTCACCCAGCTTCTTAAGAACACTTGATCTCTTTGAAGCGTGTGATCTTCTAGCTTTCGACCACATAACACTTCTAACAACACTAACCCAAATGAATAAACATCAGATTTTTCATTCGGTTTTGTGCTATTAGCAAACATTAATTCAGGATCTAAGTACCCTAAGCAATTGCCTATAACCCCAGTGAGATTATCTGAAACAGCATAAAGTGGACCCACCTTTGTAAAACCATAATCAGAAACCTTTCCCACCCATTTTTCATCCAACAAAATGTTTCCTGGGTTGACATCGCGATGAAGAACAGTTTGCCCATTAACTGTATGAAGAAATGCTAACCCTTGTGCTGCATCGATACAAATCCGAAGTCTTTGTTTCCAAGTGAGTGGATCGCTGATTTGGGCGCCATAAAGATGACTACGTAAGCTACCGTTTACCATATACTCATAAACAAGAATCATCTCTGACTTATGGTAGCAATACCCAATCAATGAAACCAAATGGGTGTCACGCAATTGAGCTAATGTCTCGATTTCTTTGCCAAATTCATGCACGATTTCGGTTTTTTTCAACCAGTTTTCAATCAAGAACTTCTTGAATCGCTTCATGGCAACCACTCGACTTCCATAATCGATGTAACCCTTATACACGATGCTAAAATCACCCGAACCAATAATGAGATTTTCATCAAAATCGTTTGTGGCCGAGTAAATTTCAGAAAGAAGAAACCGGCGAAAACCGTCATCGGTTGTCTTCGAGCTACTCACCGAGACAAACGAATCCAATTTTGTGGTTTTTGACCCGTTCCAAAGCAAATCCCATCTCCAACTCTTCAATCTTTTCGGCTTTAAACTCTTTTTTGATGTTCCTTTTGGAGATATAACATATTGTTCTTCGGGCATGAACCAATCTCCTCTTTCTTGTTGCTCAATTGCAAATTCGAGTCCCGAGATTACACTAGCCATGCTCGGTCTTCTTTTCGGTTGATTTTCCGTGCATTTTTCCGCTAAATCCGTAAATATTTTCAAACAACGAGGCGAGATTTCGCCTCGTAGATTCGGGTCGATAATTTGGTCCATTTTGCCCTCACGGATGCTTTGGCGGGCCCATATCGCGAGACTGCGTTGGTCTTCTTCGAGCCCGGGGTCCACCGCGGGCCGTCCACATAGAACTTCAAATAACACCACACCAAACGCGTACACATCGGATTTTCTCGATAACTTACGGGACAAAAAGTAGTCCGGGTCGAGGTATCCGACCGTTCCCTTTATATTTGTGCTAACGTAAGATTTTCGTAAAATTTGGCTCGTGTTTTCGACTTTCGATAACCCGAAATCCGATATTTTCCCGACGAAATCCTCATCGAGTAAAATATTCGATGTTTTTACATCACGGTGAATCACACCGTGATGTGTCCCGTTATGTAGGTAGTCGAGCCCGCGGGCCGCACCCACACAAATCTTGAGCCGTTGGTCCCACGGAAGTGACTCGAATCGGTTACTTTGGTCTTCACCAAGGTTAAAAAGATGTTCGGCTAGTGTCCCGTGTGACATATATTCGTAAACAAGGATCATCTCTGTTCCATTGTGGCAATATCCAATGAGTGAAACAAGATGATTGTGTCGAAGCTGACAAATCATTTGAATTTCCATCCAAAACTCGAGCGTGTTTTCTTTCGATCTCGAACTCATTCGTTTAACAGCGACCGTTTTCCCGCCATCGATCACGCCTTTATAAACTTTTGCAAAACCGCCGATCCCAATCACTAATGTCTCATCGAAATCACGGGTCGCTTCGTTGATTTCTAATAACGAGAAACAACGCGACGTCTCCCCGAATGTCGATGGGGTTGAAACGGTCTTTTTCCCGAGCTTTTCCTCCCAAAACCATCGTTGGATGTACACAATTATGTTTAATGCTGTAACTATAGCGATGAATTTTGTCGCTATTACGTTTAGGGTGCCAAAAATCGGTAATTTTGGCAACCAATTTGGCGATGAATTTGGTTGAAACGAAGGGTTTGAACCCGCGAGACTATCGTCCGGGTTACTTAACTTGAAGATTTCTAACCCGTTTAACTTACTTTCAGTTAATCCGTTTTTTGAAAAGATAACGATTGAAAGATCAGACATACCATTCGTTTTATCCCCTCTCATTGCTGTCACGTAATCTTTATAAACCGCGATCCCATACCCGCCACTCCATTTGCTGACATCAACATTTTTCTCGGCTATTTGGTTGTTGACAATGACATCAAATTCTCCATTACTTCTCTTCGCGGGTTCGTATTGAAAAAAATGAATCCGAATTAAATACCGGAATCCGAAATCGACCGGTAATTTCCACGTAAAAGTTGTTGATTTCTTGCCTTTGGTTGACCATGATGTTTGATAGACCTTAAGAGGTGCGGAAAATGACGGTGAGTTTGTGTACTTGATCATTGTAGTAGCATGGTAAACCGGTGAAACTTTGTTCTTCTCCGATAAGTAATCGGAGTCTTTTGACCATCGTCGGAGCATTCCCGTGTCTTCGACCGGAGAAATGGCGGTTCCGCCTGTGTTCAACCGGTGAACCGCCTCGAGTGCGGTGGTGTTGTCGATGTAGAAGTTATACCGGTGAGGTCCGATGACTTCCGGTCCTGGTTTGCCTTCTGGTGTGTAATACAGACCGGAAGGCATCGAGACAATTTCAATCCCGTTCACGAAACCGTAAACTTTTCCGTAACTCGGAGAGATTGTTATAGTTAATTCACGATTTTCATCTACGCTTACGCAAAACTCTTTCGAGAACGAGATCACGCCGAGAGCTCGAGCAGTCTTCAAAGCACTAAAATTGTGTAGGAGTTTGTACGGTCCAGCTTGGACCGTGAACAAATCGGTAGATGTTTCAAACCCGATGTAGGATGCAGGATTGAAATGTAACCGAATGAATTTTGGCCCGGGGTGGAGTTTAAATGTGTAGAGGAACCGTGAGTGGGAGGCCCGTGCAGTCAAATACGGGACCGGGTCGCCGGAAAGAGAGGTGTGGACGGCTCTTGTCCTTATTGAGTTACGAGCCTGGTTCCTCGAGAGACTGGAATCGTCAGTCCAGTCTCGTCCGTCGAGTGCGGACGAGTTCCCGATCGACCCACAATTTACTGCAATGTAGTCGATCGGGTAGTAGGGAGCTGGTAAGCTCCCTTCGACAATAAAAATGAGTCGAAGGATGAATAGAAAAAGGAGAGGATTGAGGTACATTTTAGTATGTATGTATGTATGTGTGTGGGTGTTAGTCTGTGTTTTGTAGTTGTGAGGATCAAAGATTCGATATATATTCTTGTTAGGATCAAGTGGTCAACTAATAGCAAAATTAGGAAATAGACATGCGAAGCATAACTGCATAAAGTATGTCTTCAAGATTCACAAGGCACACGTTGTTTGAAGGTTAGCAGAGAAACATATTTGAGCAGAAGATGGGACCCATAAAAATAATATAGACATAATGATATTATCGAGAGAACCCCTTAATTTCCACACGATGCTTAATAAATCATCTCAATTTTGTTAATGGGAAATCACCCTATTTGTATAAATTGTATTATTACATATAGAAGTTGAAATTTTGTTGGCTCATTTCAGTTTGATAACAAGTAACCACATCAATGCAAGTAACCACGTATCCTTTTTAGAATGAGTTACAACGTGACAAGTTGGGTGTCACCTGCCCCCTAATTAACTTTTGTCTTTTAGACTATATTTAACAGAATAGTTAACCACAAGCTTAACTAGCTAAAATATATAAAATATATAAAAATACATATATAAAATTGAGTATTTTTATAATTAATAAATGATATATTTAAGAAAACCTTAAAAAGTTTTCATTAAACTCATGGAAATATTATTCTGAGTAGTTTTTTAAAAATCTATTTTATAAACTAGTTTTTGGTTTGTGAAATATTATACCATAAAAGATATCGAAAAATAAGTTAATACATTAATATTTTTATAAGTAATAAGAAGTATAATATAATTTTTAATAGCTATACTCATAAATATAGTATAATATTTTGAATCATACAATTTAGAAAATTGTATTCATGTAAAGACTCTTGAGGTTTCGAGACTATTTGACGATTTATTTTAGTCATTTGTTTAATTACAACTATTTGACTCATTAAATATAAAAAATTATCTAAATAAATTAATATAATAAATGAATCAAAAGTACACCAAAATGTTGCCGTTGACTAAATGGGTATTGTCTTAAAATTAAAATAATACACGCCATAAAAAAATGTGATTTTATAGGTTTGAGTTAATTGGTCCATAAAAAATATATAGAATTTCTTTATACAAATTAGATCAGTTTCGTTTTCCAACAAATAATTATGTTCTTTAAGCACAGAGAAAAGGACACGAAGGCCACCTAAGTTTAATTATAGTTATCAATAAGTCACGAAAATAAAATAAGAAAACCAAAAACGGTTATCGAATTTTCAGTCGGTGTCATATTACTTAGACTAAACGGTGTGGGCCGTCCACAACTGTTTTTCTGACGTGGCCAACCCTCGACGACATGGTAACGGCAAAACACCCATGAGGAGGAGTATGCTTTGGCGGTGACGTAGTGCGAGACTTCAAAGAATCCAACCGTAGGAAATGATATGCGAAGAATTGGGTTTTGGGAAGTCGTGCTCGGTAAATTCCACACGCTTATGAAGAAACAACCATATTGGAATATCGCAGAAGAAATTGATAGAAGGGCACAAGAGTTGGCGGAAATGAAAGCAGAGTTCGACTAACACAATCTGATCGCCCAACAAAATGTTGATGTGCAACATGAGCACTTGCAGTTTCTTTGTAGGCAAGCAGAGAAATATCAAATTGCGAAGGATTTAGCAATTCTCCAAACCAGCGAAACAAATATGAGAGCACAAGTAGCGCTAGTGCTCCGGAAGATGAATGAAAAAATCAAAAGACAATATTTGGATAACTAGTTGATTGGTTTTTAGTTTCTAGGACAATTGTTTTGTTTTTTTTTGTGTGTGTTCAACGTTGTTTTTTTTGGTGTGTAATGTTTTTTTTTTTTTTTTTTTAAGTTTTTAATGTTATGGTTAATCTAGGAGTTAATTGATTGTATGTTTCATTTTTTTTGATTAATTCAATGTTATTAAAAAAATATAATGAAAAAAAAACAATTAAAAATAAATAAATTGAAAAAAGAAAAAAAACCTGAAAAAAATAGAAAAAGAAATAATAACATAGAAAGTTAAAGATGTTATAAAAAGTTGTCAATTTCCTTTATTTGGTATTATAACACCATTCCGACATTACATATGAGGTGACCTATTTTGGGTGTGCTAACACCTCTTAGTTAGCTGCCCACGTCCACTAGTCTTTAAGTTTATTAAAAGGATCGTTTGAAAACGATAAGTTAACTCAATCCTTTGTTTTTAAGTTCTTTTTATGCCACGCGACAGTGCTTAATGAGTACGTTGACAAGCATTTTTTTAAATAATATATAATATACTTCAGGAAGAACTTCAGTTCTTGCTTTCTAGAAATCTAGCATAAAGTTCTTAAATATGGTTTCAATATTTTGTTAAAATGGAGATATGACTTTTAACAAAAAAATCATTTTTAGCTAGTTTTGTTGTAAATTTGGTGAATTTTTTTTTTAAAAATTAAAATGACATTTTTACCATTTACATATTTATTTATTTTTCATTATTTCCTTCTTATATTTTATTATTATTATTAAATTCATGAATGGCTCACAAATCTCTCTTCTCTCTCAACGATTTAGTGTGCGTGCTCTTCAACCTAAGAATCAAAGATTTGAGGAAATTTTGCAGAAATATATCTTCATGTATGAGTTCATGTTCTTGATTTTTAGGAAACCCACCCTCCAAAAATCAGAAATCGAAACCAATTTAAAAAAGATATACATTTCAAGAATTCATAACAAAAAAAAAAACAGAAATCAAATGTGTGTGTTCTTGAGGAAACGATTTTTATGTTTGTTCAACTCAAGAATCGAATATCCAAGGTGATTTTGCATAAATATATGTTCATCTTTGAGTTCATGTTCTTGATTTTAAAGAAATCCACCATTACAAAAATCAAAAATCAAAACCAAAATTCAAAAAACCATTCCATAAATCGATTAAGAAACCCACCATCGAACAACCCTAGATTTCAAGAACCTAGACATGTGTGTAAGCTCGTTACAAACCGTAATCAAGAAACCCAGATGAAGATGAACAAACATGAACACACATGTGAATAGAGACGTATCTTCGAATCTGGAAACCCTATAAATGTCGATTTGTTTTTTTTTAATTTTTTTTTAATTTACAAATCTTCGGTTCTTGAGTTTCAACGTATTTTTTCCGACTCCAATCTGCTACACCACCGTCCAATAACTGACCATAGCCCAAAACCAAGCGATCGTCGGTTGCCGAAAAGTGCACATTCCGAGCCGATTAACCAGAAGAAGCTCAGAACGCAAATTCAAGGGTTGGAGGGTTGGAGACTTAACTGGAGCAAGCTCAAGATTCTTAAAGATTAGTTGGAATAAAAAATCCCCTCTTTTTGAGCAAGTTGTAGAAATCAGGGTTACCTGAAAAGATGAAGGTAAGGTTGGTGGATATGGAGGAGTGTAGTGGTGGTGGTGATAGTGAAACTGGGATGGCGAACCAAAGGGATAGAAGGAAGAGAACCATGGAGATTTGGGTCTTTATATGTGAAACGAATGATCCTTATGGATATGTGTGTGTGTGTGAAAGAGAGAGAGAGATAGAGAGAGGTTGGATTACTTAATTTTTCTTTTTTTTAAATGGTTTTAATTAAAGAAAAATATAAAAGAAATTGAAAAGGGTAAATACGTGGAACATTCGCATTTCAGGTATTTCTCATTTTTTCCTCAACTTAAAAACCATTTGCAATTGGATCCCTGGGCAGTATGCTGGGCGTACGCTAGGAGTATGCTGGGCGTACTGGGTCGAAAACTTAGTCGTGGGGGCATCCATGCATGCAGGGCGTATGTGGAGTACGCACGGCTATCGGGGACAAACCCTAATTTTTAGGGTTTGAGCACAATTTTAACACCTTAAGTTACGCTTGGACCTTCTTATGACCAGCCTCCACCTCTCCAAACCTTGAGAACGAGACCCTAATTTCCATTTGAGTGTTTTGAGCTTGGAAGTGACCTTTGAGGGTGTTTTTGGTGATCTTGAAGGAAGAAGAACTCTTGGAAGTTGGATTGGTATAGTTGGAGCTTGTGGATCCAGAATCATCACCAACTTACGGGTTGTTTGTTTACCTCTTAATTGCAAAATTAAGAGGCAATGTCTTAAAAATTCAGATTAAGATTGTTTGTTTGCCTCTTATTTTTTACCTCTTAAATTTGTAAATACCTCTTAATTTTTCAGATATTAAATAACATCTGAATTTTAAAAAAAAAAGACGCGTTCCTATTATGCCCTAGACATCGATCCTTCACCAAAACAACGCCTTCACTTCTCCTCCATCTGTGCGATCTTCTTCCATTCACCCCCGATTCGCCGACGACGCTGTTCCCCGACGACCGCTGCTTGAAACGTCGTCGCCGCCGCCGTCGTGTGGAACGAGACTTCGTCCTCCGTCTCCGACAACAGGTTTATTTCTTCCTTTTTCCCCTAAACTCGATATTTGTTCTATTTTTATGAATGATTTTGGTTTGAAATAAACGAAATCAGCTTTCTCTTCTTCATCTGAAATCGATTTCTCTTCAAATTTGATTTCAAATCGATAATTTATCTCTTTTATGTTCAAATTAGATTATTTTTTTTTCTAATTTTGTGATTTTTTTATGTTCAAATCCGTTTTCTGTGTTTTATGCTCGATTATTATGTGTTCAAATAAGATTTTTTTTTTCTGATTTTGTGATTTTGTGATATGATTTGTTGAAATTATGTTATGCTTTAATGTTGAAATCAGATTTGTCACTGAAGCTCTTAAGCACACAAACTGTTTGTGAAAAGTCATGTAAGGTTCTATCAATATATGTATTACATAATGGTTTTTTAATCAAATCACAAAGTTGTATTTGATGGGTATTAATGTTTAGATTGTATATTCTGTAATCATACCCTTGGTTGCAGTTTGATGGGTATTAATGTTTCTGAATTGAAGATAAAAAGATATTGAATTACCTGTTGCAAAAATAAGAATAAAGGGCATAATGGTATTTTCCTTGTTATTATCAAGTGGGA